AGAGAGAGAGAGAGAGAGAGAGAGAGAGAGAGAGAGAGAGAGAGAGAGAGAGAGAGAGAGAAAGGAGGGAAGGAATTCATGCCTTCAAACACATCTTTTAATCTAATCTGGGAAAGAAGCATTATTTATGTGAATCTTGAGTTGGGAAGACAAACTTTAATCATTTAGCTCATTTGACTGAAAAATCCTCCTATAATCTGTGCTACACCCTGTGCTGGAAGCAGATTTCAATAATTTGATTTTGAAAATCCCCTACAAAATTTGCTGCACACTTTGCTGGAAGCCTATATAAGAGCAAAGTAAAAGAAAACTTATACTCTGTCTGATGCCTCTCACCTTGCTAGCAAGTCCACTTTTTCATTGACATGTAATGAGCCACCATGTCTGGGATTCAAGTGTTTACTGAAGATCAACTGAGACATTCAGGATCATGGACTGAGTAGCTTCTGTATTCTTAGATCCCATTCTTAACTTGTTGATGTTGTTTTAGCTAGACCACAAACTAAATGACATCATATAAATACACACACACACATATATCACATTATATTTTGTGTGAATATAAGTGTTTATTTTTATTGATGTGTTTTTTATTTTTATTGATTTTTATTGAGGTTACATTTTTCTCTGCTCTCCCCCCCTTCTTTCCCATCCCGTACAACCCTCCCCCAAGTTCCCCATGCTCCCAATTTACTCAGGAGATCTTTTTTTTTCTAATTCCCAGGTAGATTAGATTTGTGTATGTCTTTCTTACAGTCTTATTTGTTGTCTGAGTTCTCTGGGAATGTGATTTGTAAGTTGGTTTTCCTTGCTTTATGTTTAAATACAACTTATAAGGAAGTACATATGATAACATATATTCTGTGTCTGGATTACTTCACTCAAAATGGTGTTTTCTAGCACCATCACTTTTCCTGTAAAATTCAAGATGTAATTTTATATATATAATACTCCATTGTGTAAGTGTACCACAGTTTCTTTATCCATTTTTTGTTTGAGGGTTATTTAGGTTGGTTCCAGATTCTGGTATGACAAACAATGCTGCTATGAACATAGTTGAGGATATGTCCTTGTGGCACAATTGAGCATCTTGGGATAAATACCTAAAAGTAGAATTACTGGGTTTTAAGTAAGGTTGTTTCTTAATTTTCTGAGAAATCACCACACTGACATCCAAAGGGGCTGTACCAGCTTGCATTCCCTTTAGAAACACAGAAGTATTCCCTTTACCAAACAACCTCTCCAGCATAAGTTGTCATCAGTATTTTGGATTTTGGCCATTCTTACAGTTTTAAGATGGACTCTCAACATAAAGCCAGCACTACCAAACCTTATTGAAGAAAAAGTGGGCAGTACATTTGAACATATTGGCACAGGAGACCACTTCCTATATATAACCCAGCAGCATAGACACTGAGATAACAATAAATTGGACCTCCTGAAACTGTAAAGCAAAGGACATGGTCAATAAGACAAAACAGCGGCCTACAGAATTGGAAAAGATCTTCACTAACCCCACACCAGATAAATGTCTGACCTCCAAAATATACAAAAATCTCAAGAAATTGGTCATCAAAAGAACAAATCAAAATTTATTCAGGTTCCCCAAATATTTGCGGGCATTGTAAAGCATGTACATCTCAGCAAACACCGTTCTTTCCAGCTCGATACATATCGATTATACCCTTCCTCACTCTGCCTATTTAACAGGTTTTTTTTTTATAATATGCCATTCCTTACAATGCTGTTTTTGGAGATTGTTTGTGCTATCTGACATTTAAAGAGATATTCCCCTGTTTCAGATGTCCATTCACCTAGCTTTCTGGGATATTGCTGTGATTAAATATTGACCATATTGAGGTAGAGGTTTGATTGGGATCATGAATTACAGCAAAGAAATGACAAAGCAGGCATATGGAGAATGCAACTAAATCATAGAATCTGAAAGAGCAAAGCTTACTGGCTTTTCTGAATTCTCACACAGCCCTGACTAGGGACAGCACCGCCCACAGTGGGCAGGGCAGTCTTACATCAATTACCCATTAATGAAATGGTTAAATAATTGTACAGTGGGTTAGTTCAACGAAGAGAAATATTTTAGTTAAGGCCCCCTAATTTATTAATGAACTTTGTGTCAAGGTGATGAAAATTAAGTAGAAAAAATACTTTGCATGCTCTATAGTGCTTGTTCATATCAAAAAACCCATTCTTCCTCCTAAATTTCTAGATATGGGAAGCTACTCAAATTTACATCAGTTTGTTCCCATACATTTGTATGTATGGTATTATAAAATATATTAAATTTAATCTAAGCACTCCTTTGGTGTATATAAAATTAGCATATTGGTATATCAACATGATAATAAAATATAGTTATAGGAGTAGGTAAAACTCCTGACACCAGCATGTATCTGATTTTTCACAGATGCCGCCCTCTGTGTGCAGTGCTGATTGTCTTCCTGGATTCAGAAAATTCTCACAGGAGGGAATGGCAGCCTGCTGTTTTGGCTGCAGTCCCTGCCCTCAAAATGAAGTTTCTAATGAGACAAGTGAGTGTTTGGTATTGGGTAAATCCTTCACATCATATAGATCATTTTCTCTCAGTCATACAGGGATGCTCAAATGACCAAAAGACAACTGAAGAAATAAAATACATTACTTTTTAAGTTAAGTTTTATAGGACTATGATTATTAACAAAGTCACTTTAAATAACTTGCTATACCATTGTAGTGGAATTTCAACTGTACTTTAATAAATAAAGACTGCCTGAAATCTAAGAGTAAAACAGTCCCACTGGTCAGCCTTACAGACCACATTATGGTAACATAAACCTTTATTCCCAGTAACCACAATGACATGCACATTTAATCCCAATAACTACCCTAGTAGATATAGAAATCAGGTGGTGCATCCCTTTAATCCCAGTGGTACATGCCTTAACCCCAGCCCTAGAGAGGAATATAAGACAATTTTCAGACATAGTCTCTTTTTGAGAGCCTAGAGACATGATAGCCATTTGGACTGAGGTTGAGTTAACAGTCAGTGGCTGACTGTTTTGCTTTTCAGATCTTCAGGTTGAACCCCGATTTCTGACTCTGGATTCTTATTAATCATTCTTCATTTGGTGCCCAACATTTTGTGATATGAATCCATGAAAATGACATTTTCTTGAGGCTTTTTATCCACCAGCCAAGGCCATGGATGAGAGTGGATTTCTAGTTCTAGGAGCTGGACCCAAACTCAGACACCTGGGTTTGAGAGAAAAACTAGAGCTCCTAGCTCCCATCTGCCCTGTCTTAACTTCCATATAAAGATCAAAAATATACAGAGAATTTGGCTACTGTATGCTATTGTTTTGTCTTTGAATTGTTTAACTTCTGAGGAAGGAGCCACAGCTGCTTAAAGGCATGTGATTATTGATGCTGCTGGATTGATCCAACCTATATATTTCGAAAATATCTTGACTTCAAAATTTAAGTCAAAAGATATGTTGCTGTGGAGAAGAGGTTTTACTTTTGTTTCCAAAGGAAGTAAGAGGCTGTGAACTCATTCTGGCTTAAGAAAATAAGGTTTGAGTGGGGGGAGGGGGAGAGGAGTGGGAGAAGGGGGAGGGAAAAGGGAGATGGGGAGGGAAACAGGAGGCGGGGAGGAGGCGGAAATTTTTTTTCCAATAAAAAAATTAAAAAAAAGAAAATAAGGTTTGATCAAGGAAGAGTCCCTGAAAACTCTCCAGTGGGAACAGATGACCCAGATGATCCAATGTGTCAGAGTACATTTGTTGCAGTATCCTCTGAATTTTACATCCAGAAGAGCTTCAAGACTTTGGCTGAAATGATCCAGTCTCATAGAGCAGTCCAATAAGGACTTTACATTAATTATAAATTTTCTTTGGGTCATCAAAAGATTATCAGCACCACCAAGCAGCAGGATGTAGCCTAGAAAATATGTTCAAATTCCCCCTAAGATGGATTATGGATATATGTTTTTGTTTAAATGTTTGTTACAAGTTGTTATGGCTAATGTTCAGGAAGAAAAGGTAAAGAAAGAAATTAGATTCAAGGTTCTTGTCTTGAAAAAAAAAACATCAGGTGGTCATGGTGCATGCCATTAATCACAGCACTTGAAGGTGGTGTGAGGCAGATCTTTGTGAATTCAAGGTCAGCCTGGTCTGCAGCTTGAGTTCTAGAATGGGCTCCATACATAGCTGCTTAAAAATCCTGTCTCAAAATAAACCAAAGAAAGAAGGAAGGACGGAAGAAAAGAAAGAAGAGAGATAAAGAAAAGAAAATAAGAAATGGAAAGAAAAAGGGATATACGTATGATAAAAGACAATTGTAGAACATTGAATCTACTCTGAAAAGAAAAAGGGGGATAAAGATATGAAAGGTAAATGGGGAGATTATTGAAACTACTTTTAAAAATCAACTGTTAGTTTTAAATATTTTACATTGGTTTTATTTGGTGTATTGTATACAAATTTTGGATATTGAAATAGCTTTGAGATTAAAATGTTCAAATATATGATACATGCATTTGAAGCTCATTTAACAATGTAATGCAAATTTTTAGTTTTTGAAATAAAGTATTATCCACTATTTAGGATAATAGAGCAGACTAAACTACTTCAGAGAAGATAATGGGCATTGAAGAAACTCCACATGGAGCTTTCTTTCTGGTGAAAGTAAGTCATTGGTAGAAAGTAAATTAGGTATAAGACGTTGGATTCACTTAGGCTACATAGAAAATATTTTTCTCAAAATGTCAAATGCAAATGGACTTGATATTGTGAATATATTTCTTCCCTGTATATATTGTATATATTCATTGTACTTATTGTATATAGTTTTCTTATATTAATTATAGACTTCTTTTTATTATTATTTTTATTGAGAATAGGA